TTCCCTCCTCCCCCCCACAAACATTGTATAGAACTTCATTTGCATTATTAAAACACCAAATAAGCTATGACCTTAGCAACTTTACCAAAAGGTCAAAAATGTACATGTTTTGCCTTTGGTTTTAAACAGGAAACGGAGGAAAAGAAAGATAGTCTATAAAAACAGGTTATAAAATAAAGAAAGCTTACCATTGCGAAAAACTTTATTAAAATCAAATCCTTGGTTTGCTAAAAAGTCTATACTTGAACTCTGAAAAAAAGAACAAAAAAAAAAAAAAAAAAACCAGCTTTGTGACTGATTCTACACCACTGAAATTTCAAAGGTCAATTAAAAAACAACCCAGATATTTTCCTCAAACATATTTGTTTTAAAAAAACCTATACTAACTTTTTTCTTTGTCAAAGTATTAGGTTAGTGAACTCAAGAAAGTTAGTCTGTGCAATGAAATAGTTTATTAAAAGATGAAGTTTAATGAAGTAGAACAAGTCATTTATAATTAAATCTTTCCATCAGTATTTTGTCACTTACTTGCGCGTAACAGATAATCTATGGCTTGCGCACTATGGATAACAATACATCCCAAAACCTTAACATCAAACCCACCATAACACCAATTAATATGTAGTACACTGTTTAAATTATAATAAAAAAGGCCACTTTGAAGCTATGTACCATTTTGATTTTAGTTAGAAGCTATAGAGTCATGATTTTAGTTTGCCCAGAGAGCCAAGTGAAGCTCAGGATTGTTTAAAAGTGTACTCTTTCAAACAAAAACCTTACAAATGCATCTACAGGAGCCATTTTGGCAATGAGATTCATGATATCCAGGGCAACATGGAAACAAGCAAGACAGTAGTTTCTACCACAGGCAAAGCACAATATAATGGTAATAATGGTGGAAAGGAGTGTAAAGCTTTCTACATATGTATCTATTACTATATAGATTTTTTTAAAATACATATGCAACTTTCTGTAATAAAAAGAGAAGTGCATTCTGGGCTCTACCAAGCTACACATGACTTGTACCACGCTTTGGTCTGGCACAAAGGTTCAACAACTGTTAGAAAAGAGTCAGGTGGACAAAACATGAGACTATACATTGATGATGTCTGCTGGCTTTCCTTTACTGCTTAGCACTGGCTATGAATCTCAATCTTTGGAATACTGATTATATTTTAAAGATATATGGATGAGAGACTGGAGAAAAATAAAGACATAGGAGAGAAAGAGTTGGGAGGGAGGGACCAGAGGTGGAGGGGGAATGGGAATCAAGTGAAAGCACTGATGTGGCAAAATCTCAAGAGTCCAAAAATTCTCACAACAGCTTTGGGAAGCAATGAGAGAGAGAGGGAGAGAATAAGAATGGATAGGAAGAGAAAACAAGAAAAAAGCTGGATAAGAAAATACTTTATAATGTCATAAATCTGATCGTCAGCTTCAGACAGTCACCTCAGTCACCAGAAAAAAAACGAAGACCTGTATTAAACAGCAGGAGTTTAAAAAGTGGCATGACCTTTACTTCATTTTTCAACCTAGTTTTCTTCATTTATAGAATATGGTCCCACTAAGACTTTTTTTTTACTGAAACTTGCTTCCTTCTCTATGCACTGAGGGAAAAAAAAATCCATGAAGAATGAATTATACATAGGCAAAAATGCTTGGGGGACGAACCAAAATTGACACCACTACAGAATTTTCCCAAAAATCATTTTGAAAAGTTTTTCAGTAGCAATACATATAAACCTGTTTTTCCACTAACCTGACAGACAAACTTGACATCTGGTGAACTTCTATTGAAGGGTTTTGGAAAAATATAGAAGTTGAATGATTTCATTATGTATCTGTGAAAGGTAAGAGTTACAAATCAAAATAGAGCTTATCAATATTACCTAGTATAAAAAAAGTTAGGAATAAGTCAAGGAAACAACATACTTAGCTTCTGTGTGGTCATATTTAAAACTACAAAGGCCAAACTGAAAAAGCAAGAAATCCATGGAATGCTGAAAAGGAAAAACAAGTGAGAATAATGGTTACAATACATTTTGAAATGCAACTGAGGCACTCTGGGAAAAAAGTTATTTGTCTGAACCTCAGATATCTGTACCTCATCGATACATATTGGCACTACTAGCTTTACCTCGAGTGAAAATGCCTTGGCATAATACCTTAGTTTAAAAAGGATCTTTAGCTACGTAAGACTCATGTTTAAAAAGAAAATTATTCTTACCAATAACATTCTATTTTTCTTCTGAAGTTTAGCATTTCATTTTTACCTTTTCTTCATTTCTGCATTTTTTTTCTGCACTTCATTCAGCTTGGACAATGAATAGACTAAATTTTCACTTTGTTTCTCCTGCAGTAGGGCAATATTGTTTCAGCTTCCATTATTGCAAAGGTATGAACTAAACCCAGCTTTTTAGAAACAAGTTCTTTTCATTTATATTAAAAGGGACACCACCAACTTGATCTGTTCAACTTCAAGTAAGTATCAGAGGGGTAGCCGTGTTAGTCTGAATCTGTAAAAAGCAACAGAGGGTCCTG